AAGAAGAAGAAGAAGAAGAAGAAGAAGAAGAAGAAGAAGAAGAAGAAGAAGAAGAAGAAGAAGAAGAAGAAGAAGAAGAAGAAGAAGCTGGAGCTCAGTGTTACCTGCTTGAGCTTAAACTTCTCAGAAGTCTGTGCCTAGCCCATGCCCTCCCAACTACTATCTCTTGTAGACATCTCTCACCCACTCACTAGGATAAGATGACACCAAAACCCCTAGTCTTGAACAATTAGCTCTTTCCCAAATGGCTCCTGATTAAATCCTCTCCAATGTGGCAGGTGCTGCACTGGATTTCTTTTCCAACTCTAGCTTACTAGCCAGAGGAGTCACTTTCAAAGTAAAACCCCACAGTGTCTTCCCAGTTTCCAGCAGCCATGTGCTTTTCTTGGGTCCAGGGCTATCAACCTAGTCAATTTTTATTCCATGAAGCTGTAGACCCATTCTGGGTTCATCTTGTGTCAGTCAGGTTCCCTGTTTCTTGGAGGAAGGATCAACTTTCCAGACTTCGTTCTTTTCTCTGCATTGTGCTTAGGAAGGCATTCTGGAGATGGCTTTTCACTGAGCTCCCCTGTTATAAGGAGAAATTCTTTCTGACCTTCCTACATCATTCTAGAGTTCTCCTGTCCATGACAGGTGCTTGTTTTGAGACTTCACTGGAGAGTCCAAAGTAAAAGATGGCTCTAATTTTGAGGTCTGAACTTTCTAGAAACCTTATCAGAAATCACCACTGATTTCTTAGACAGTTTTAATTTCTGGGACATATGAGCAGCCATTTTGTTCTAAGGATCTTTGACATTATCATTACGAAGAACACCTAACTGTTGAGTATAAGATACCAGTCATGCCAGGCAGGAGGCAGAAGCGAGGTGTGTATGGTCAGAAATCTTTATTGTGATTTTTGTAGTAGGGAGACAAGGAAAATAGGCTAAGCAAATTTAGGATTGATTCATTTGAATACTGTGGTGGACTCTAGGGTATCAGTGAGCCTACCCTTAATTGTCTGCTACTAGCCCAAGGTGATTATGGCAAGGGATAGTGGTCTGTGCATATAATTGCTCAATAAAGAAGGTGGTTATCAGTTAGGACTCTGGATTGGCGGGTTTGGATATGACAAGTTCACTCATTGACAAGTCATTTGTATCTTCAGGAATTGGTTTGCCATGAGAGGGATAGTCAATAGGCCCAGATGTTGAAACATCAAACAAAAAGACAACTTGATACAAGACTACTCACAAGAGTAGTTTGAGTCCAACTGCTTTCCACAATGACACTGACAGGTAGATTGGGAAGACCACCAGGCCAGATTCTTAAAGATACTAGAGAGAATGAGCTTGCCAGCACACTGTCATGTGAAAGACAGCAATAACATAAAGGCAGTGAACCTACCAGGTCCTTCCTCTTTTCTTCCATTATGCGTCAACAAGGCCTCTTACAGTTACAAGTGCCAGAGGGCCGGCAAGATAGCTCAGTGGACTAAGCACTTGCTTAGGCAAGTGCAGGGACCAGGGTTCAATCCCAGGTACCACATACTACGATAGCCCCATCTCCAGGCACAGGGAGCCAGGCACTGAGAACAAATATGGTGGCACATGCCTATAATCCCAGTGCTGGGAGGCTGAAAACAGGAGGATCACTATGAGTCTGAGCTACATAGTGAGACCGTGTTCCAAATACATTTTTTAAAAAAAGTGTGAGAAGCCTGCCTCAAACCATGGTAGGAAGTGAGGGAGGGCAGGAGGGAAGGAAGGAGGGAGGGGAAAGAGCTTGTACAAGAATGGGCTAACTCCAAGATTTCAGAAAATATCATCTGGTGCCCATCAACAGAAAAATGCATAAAGAAAATGTGGCATACATACATATACAATAGAATGTTGTTCTGCCACAAAGAGGAATTAAATTATGTTATTTGCAGGATAATGGAACTAGAGGGCTAATGCTAAGTGAAATAAGTCAGACACAGAGCATTAAGTACTATGTGGTTTCTCTTACATGAGAAACCTAAAAGATGAGTAATGAATACAAGTAAAATAAAAAAGAAATAGTAGAAAATAAGAAGGCAGACCCTTAACAGACGGGGACAGGTTTTGGGGAGGGGAGAGATAAGAGTAGAGGATAAAGGAATCAAAAGTGACTAAGATTAGTTACATGTGTGTACTAATTCCCCAAAATGAGTATCAGTATAGTGTACTACAAACATGCACAATAAAAGAAAATCTCATCTGGGCAGGCAGCATTCAGCTAAATCTCTTGACACTGTAAGCCTCTCTTCCCCATGACTTACCTGGTGCCACAAAGACGCCCTCCTGCTGTCCCTTGCTCAGCTCAGCAGAAGGGATTTGCCTCTTGAGAGCTCCTGCCAAAGTGCCAAGAGTATACCACTGTGTCCACTCTGGGGGCAGTAGAGGTCCTCTGGAAATGCGGGTTTCAGGCCCACGCCACCCAGAAAGCACAGCATAAGCAGTGCGGGGGCTGAGTCTCCACTGCAGAAAGAAAGACACTGGGGGAAAACAGAACCTCTACTCCAACCTGCTTCTCTTTGCCTTCTAGGTGCTCCACTTCCTGAGTCTGAAACAGGAGAGACAAGGCCTGTATGGAGGCCTTGCCTGAAACACGTCTCCTCCAAAAAGCGGAGGGTGATCAGCGTGCATCTCCCAGTGCACGAAAGCAGAGAGACGCCCTCTCCCCCAGGTAGCTACCCCCTCCCACCAGCACCCTGCAGGCATCTCAGTCCAAGGGGCAGGAAGCCAGACAGACCAGGGAAGCCAGAGGCTGAGGCGGGCTCAGTGCAGCCCAGCCGCCTAAAGACACCTCTTGCCCCGCAGCAGCTGCCTTGCCCAAGTACTTCAGCACAACTGACCATGCATCTGGCTCACAATAACTTAGGAAATCATCCCCTGCTGAGCTTTCTGGCTGCAAATGGAACATGGCACCAGATTCACCAGCACACTGCTGCCAGCTTTTACAGTTAATCTTGCTTTTCAGCAATGAAATTTATTTTCTAATCTGTTTATAAATATATACTCACTCATTTAAAAGTCCATAATATCAATAAAATGCTTCACTCCAAATTTTCAGAGCATTCTATGGTCACTTGAAATTACACAACGGATTCATCCAAATGTGTATTTTAATATGTGATATAGTTTGGAAGTAATGGGCCATATTTAGGAAGCTCACAGTTTTCACAAAACCAAAAACTGAGCCTCTTTTCCAAAAGACACAGGCAAGGTGATCTCCCTGCCTCAGCTTCCCAGCATGTTGACATTACAGTCAGATACCACCACAACCAGTTTGCTTGCTTATTTATGTGTTTATTTGTTTGTTTTGTGGCTGGGGCTCACTAAATTACCCAGTCTGTCCTAGAACTTGAGATTTGCCTATGTCAGCCTCCCAAGTACCTAGGATCACAGGCTTATGCCACCACGCCCAGCTGTGTTCTTATTTTGAGTATATTATCTTAGCTGCTCCTTACAGCAATCCCAAGGGGCC